GTAGGCATTACATCTGGATTACAAAACAGTTTCTATAGTTCCACCACCTGTAGATACAGAGTTTTTATAAAGTCAGTCTAAATTGTCCTGTCTTCCTTCCTGCTGCCTCAAATAGGCTTTTATTTTTAACAGCAGACATTTTTATTTGTCATAGTAGGAAAAACACAGGTGTTACTATTCATTAACACTGGCTAAGTTTATTCAAGTGTAAGGCTTAACAGTGTGACAGTGAGCCAGCAACCAGCTAAATGGAATTCAGCCATCAGTAATGTTATTTACACCTGTGCTTTTCCTAATGTGACATGTCAAAATGTCATCAGTGAAAAAGTCCTATAAAGGCACGTTTGTTCTGTGTGGTTGAGGTGCTTTTAATATCTCACCACTAGATGGCAGCACAAGGAAATACAATCAGTCTTTAGTGTTACACTTTTTAAGATAATACCGCTATGATGATTAATTAAAGTGTTGTTAGGGGTTTTCTCCTGTTTATTTCTTATACCACAGTGTCTGTCCCAACTAATCCATAGCGGCATCTTACATGTTGCATTACTCAGAGGTGTGTTGATGCATTGGTTTTCACATGAAGAGTATTAACACTCTGTCATGTAGGGAAATAAATGTCTCAGCTTATGAGTGAAATAGCTCAGATCCTGATCTTTTACATCCGACGGTGTAACAGTTCCCAGGCATTCGTTTGAAGCTGATGACTGTGATTCCAGGCTTTTTAGTCATATAGCCCATTAAAGTTAAAATGTCACGTGTAATTGAATCTTAGAATAACTATAACACCTAATTCAGCCTTCTTCAGTATTTTTCTGTTTCCTTATGTTCATCTCAACTTTCCAACCTAGAATCCAGTGAAGAAGATTCCAGACACTCATGAGATCACTCTGCAGCACGGCACCAGGACAGTAAGGACTTCTTCTTTCAGTACTCTGTGATTATAATTGTTCCTTATGTGGCTCCATGGAAATTTCTTCAATGGCTTTCTGTTAGAGAGAAGAAGGTCTTTATTCATCAAAAGTGGCTTCTAATCAACACCATATTTTATTTTGTTTTCATTGAATTATGCACACACTAAAACATCTGATAGTTGAGATCTGCATCAGTTAATGTGTTTTCAGCCAAGGTTACCTAACGTTGTCCCGAATTTTACCAATAAGAGCACTGGATATTTTGTGCCAATGAGAAAAGGGCTACACATGTCTTCAGTATAGACCCAATATGGTATCCTGATCCAGTGCTGATTGCAGTTTTGAAACAGTTTAGATTGGAATAATCTGATCGTTACACGAAAACAAATGTTAAAATGTAGTTTTATGTTTTAAATAAGCTAATTGTCTCCTCAGGTATCAGCTCTTGCCTTAGACCCCTCTGGAGCCCGTTTGGTGACTGGTGGGTATGACTATGATGTGCGGTTCTGGGATTTTGCTGGGATGGACCAGGCCCTGCAGGCCTTCAGATCCCTCCAGCCCTGTGAGTGGTGAGTCCACATCTGAGAACGCAGCATGGAACACCAACAGAGTTCCTTAACATGTGGTTAATTAGTTTCATGCAAACAACCAGTATACTCATTGCATTTATGTGTGCCAAAGTCTACACAAACAGACACACACACACACACATTTGTTGAGCTTCATTGAGCCTCATGTTAGCTCTGTGACATCCTTCCTTTTCATTCAAAATGAGCCTTTTAGAAGCAGATGGTTGAGATGTTTGTGTGTCTGTGTGTGTTTATTCTGTGTTTCACCGGGGCCATCATCAAAGATCAAATTCTTGTTTGGTTTTGGGAACCAGTGGGCTGAGCTGGAGCAGGCCTCCGCTTATTAACAGAAAATTTACGCTACATTTAATTTGATTACAATGTAATCCAGTAGCCTGTTTGGTTTACTAACAAGCTGGGCTTCATATAGAAAGCAGTGCTGTTGAGGTCCACTGTTCCTCTCTCTTGACCCAAAAAGGCAACTTGTGAGCTTGGTCTAAAACAAATGAGCATTTGGTGCAATGTAGTGAGCCTTTGAATATGCCAGAGCCACCCAATTTAAAAACAGCATGGTGCTGACCTCACTTTCATTAAAGCGATGGAATTTTTGTGTTCTGTGTAGGAAATGTTCGTGCCCATCTATCCCCTGCTGTGTTAATGCTATTTAAAATTGGCCGAAATTGCTAATCTCACTCAGTCTCTTCAATTGGATACACTGCTGTGCTCTGTAGAATGATATGTGTGTTATTCAGTGTAAAACTGAAATATAATAAGTCATATCCATTCTGAATAGCACTAAAGACGCTTATAAAGTTCTATTTTTACTCTCCATACCTAATTATATTGTTTGTGGTTTGTAATAACCAATTTTTGTAATGTTTATTTTCTCTCAATGTGTTTGATTATGTTTCAAAGAGAGTGTTATCATTCTTTCCATTTCTTAGCTTAACTGTCTGTTGCGTGTCGTAGATCAAAGACCAATCATTTGATGTACATCAGATGTTCTGTTGTTTTGTTCCTATAGCTACATGTATCTTTTGTTTGTTTTTGTCCCTGAAGTTGAACCCTTTGAAGGATTAAAAGTTTCTTTTATAACAATGATTTGGTGCAGAAGTCCTGTACAATCACAGCTCACAGATGGCTTGCAAACAGACACCAAGACACTTATCCGAACTTATCAGCACCACATAAATGCAAACTAATATGATCTTCTTTGTCTCATTGTGTTGTGTGTGTCCCCTCAGCCATCAGATTAAGACCCTGCAGTACAGCATCACTGGTGATGTTATCCTGGTGGTTTCTGGAAATGCACAGGCCAAGGTGTTGGACCGTGATGGCTTCAATGTCATGGAGTGTGTAAAGGGAGACCAGTATATTGTGGATATGGCCAACACCAAGGTAAAGTGGCCCTCACGTATAGGTTAAGCGTTTGTTTTTTTTTGCAACTTGGGTCGTATTTTTGTGGTTTGGCCATCAATGATAAAATTATACTCAGAGTAATGGTGAAATGCTGAGAGCTGGCAACACTGTAAACAGTTCTGACAGGGCAATAAACAATACCGGTCAGATGATCAGACTGGCTGTAAACAAGCCAACAATTTAGCCAGATTCTGGACCACTTTATTTGGATAAAAAATCACATGGGAGAAACCTCATTGCACAGGCTTGAACAAAGTAGTTGGTCTGGAAACTGAAGTAGATTTTAATTGTCGTTTTATGTCGGTTTAGGCAATAATTTCACTGTCAAAAAATAACTGCTGAAGCTACATAAATATAGCCACTTGGGGGCAGCAAAAACAAGATGTGAACACATTATATTACCTTTTAAGTTAATATGGTGAAAATGTCTGCAAACTGTTGCTTATTTACACATCCAGCTGTTATGGAGCAACATTATCATCATTTGAAGTCATGCTTCTGGACACATTTAAATCCAATATTTACCTTCTCTTAGCTCTGTTTTTGGTCTGTGCCAACTCCTGAGAGAAATATCTCGCTCCTTAGCAGCTGAATGCTCCACTATGTTCACCAGCTAGTTGCTACCTGTGTCTGACTGCCGTTTGGTGCTGAGCAGGTAGTGAACAATGAGCTGAAACTTGCTATAAAGCCTCGTAAAGCGAAGGGAAGCTGCAGATTCAGGTGATGATTTTCTGTAGGTTCATCACTTTGCGCCACACCTTTCACATTTTCATTTAATACATTGTTATTATAAAATAATTGATTACAGTTTAAAGCTATTAGGTAAGTATTCATGTTTTCACTTCCATAGCAACAGCGGTGTGCCCAAGAGTGACTGCTAATTCTAAACACAGGCTGGATGCTCTGCTCTTCTGCTCTGTGGCCAGTGCATAATGGTAGCAAGGTGTAGCCATGAGCTGGTTTGTTGTTGTATGTGAGGATAGTGCTCTGTTCTCTCTGACCAGAGGCAGTCTTAGGGGGAGAGGAACACCACATGCTTTCAGGACTGTCGTGGTTCATCTCTTGCTTGTACCTGCATCTACAAAGCAGGATCCTAATTAAGTGCCCATGTTTAGGTTTTACTGTGTTTAAGGAAGCTGTATTGGTGGTCACCAACCATCTGTGCCAGCTGCAGTGCATTTAGACATGGTTTATACCAGCCATATGAATTACTTGAACAAGTGAAGGCCCATTGATTGCAAGTAGTGTTTTCCTGAATGTCCCACATTCTTGTCCTGTTCAGTCCCATCTGGAGATGATGGGAGAGTTTGGTTCAATGAAAATGCGCTTTGGCCCGCTGACAGTGTCCCAGTCGATTAGCTGTGTCTCATGTGATAATTAAGTCCTTGCCTCTACTCTGCTTCTGTTGACAGACAATTACTTGCCTCTTGCCTCATCCCAAAGGTCTGTATACGCAGGAGGCAAAAAAAAAATGGTTTGTTCTGGAAAATATTTAAAAAAACCATACCACTGTTTACAATATCTTGAAATCTTCAAATTGGTTGTTTCCCAAAACCCAAAGAGAGAAGATTACTAAAAGGAGCAAATACTCACATCTGAGAAATTGAAACCAAAGAATGTTTGGTATTTTTGCCTCATAAATGTCTTAACGTAAACCTGACAGATAGAGAAACCTGTATAGTAATTGCAATAAAAAAACACACTGGGGATACCTGTACTGTCCAGAGTAAGTCACATGTTGTTATCAGGGAGGTTTCTATTCTTGGCTCTGTTTGTCATTAACATGCTGTATTTTTGTTTACTGTTAGTATGAGATAGCGGTCTGTTCCTCTTTAGTCATTGGCAATTTATTGTCCTAAACTGTTGAGGAAGAGGAATCAGATTTGTTTAGGAAGGTCGCGGCTACTTCACCCTCATTGTGAAGCCCCTGTGATGGATTCTGTTTATTTTTATGTTATTGCACAGAGCAGGAAAGCAGTCATTCATAGCCCATTTGAGCTTTAACCTCATCATACAGTGGGTGTGTATTTTGCCATAAAAGTTAACAACGTAGAAATTTGTTTTTAGTCATTTTAGTCGTTACACAGCAAGACCTAGGCATTTGCCTTTTATTGATTACTAGATTGGTGTGCTTGAAGTATTTGACAGTGAACAGGCAGACCTCTCTTCCTGATGCACACATACCGATGTCATTTGGTCAACCTCTGCTCCTGCAAGGCTCTGCTTTCTTGAGCATCCTGTCAAATAGTGGTATGTCATGTCTGAAGCCTCTTTGCAGCACACTGAAGTGTTCCTCTCTGACCTGGCAGCGGAGGAGGCCTCTCTCTGGGTCATTCTGCTTTGAAGTCATTTGTTATGAGTAATTCTCCACAGGACTACTCCAGCAAAGGAAATGTCTAAAAGTTACTTTTCTAGGAGCTCACTGTTTGAAGCTGTGACAGAGCCTGCTGCACTTCTTCAGAGTTCACTGGCTCAGTTGTGCGGCATGGCCTATGTCGAGGAAGGCCAAAAGTCAAGGTTACAATGTGATCAAATAAAAGGTCCAAAAATATCCTTTTCCTCAAGGGAGAGCCCTTTAAGGTGCATTCAGATTAAGCAACATAATTAATGTCTCCCAGGACTTTTAGTATGTGTAGAAGACTGGCTAAAGGCCTTATAGTTGCCATGCACTTCATGCTACACAACTCTGAAAATGCACCGTCACAAAAACCTAATAGCACTCCTGAAATAACTAACTGGTGACTTTTTGTGCAGCAGTTTTCACAAATTCACTTTCATTGTTTCCTCCTGGTGACATTTCCCTTTCCACCTGCTCAGCCACATCTAGTCTCTAATTATGAGTTTGTAAACAGTTGTAGGGCAAATGGCAGCCCTGTGTGCTCCACTTCAAAGTGACTGGAAGCTAGCCACAGGATCGGGCCTGCAACAATTTAGTGACTGTTAAAATTGCACAATTTGTTGATAACTTTCACTTTCTGCTCTTTTCAGGGCCACACAGCAATGCTGAATTCTGGCTGCTGGCATCCCAAGAGTAAAGAAGAGTTCATGACCTGCTCCAATGATGGGTAGGTTTTACACTTACCTTGTGTTGCCACAAGACATGCTGTATTATATGAAACACTGCCATGTCTGTTTGCTGTTTCTAACTGTAAATAATAAACTGTAAATAATAGTTTAATTATTCCACATGACTTACCAGAAAAACAAATGTTTTAAATGGTATACTGAGAGATCCAGAACCAACCAAAATCTCCATTCATCTTGTGGTGGTGGAATTGTTATGGATGTGGCAAAATCTGATGATAATATTCATTGACACACCTCCTGAATATTAGGATTATTTGTTCAACATTTATTCAGAATCATCTTTATTGTGCAATTAACTTGTGTATGTCACGTCCAAGGCAATGTTTCAACACTGTATTTGCTCTCATGTCCTCTGTCACCAGCAGGGAGTCCTCTAGTCCAGATTATGCCTCTGAAAAGGGTAGCTTGACCGCACAGCTGTGCATTGACACATGGCACATTTTATACTGGATGAAGTCTAAATGCACCCCTTTTATTTGTATGCAGTGATTTGGACCAGAGCAACACTGCTGGAATGAAGACGTCACACACATATTTATTATCTTTCTGCTTCAGAAAGAAGAGCTTTAGCAGTCTTCTGCCTTCTTAAAAGCAGCACTAGTCCTGTATGACTGCAGGAGCTGTAACCCTTTCCTGTGTGTATAGGTGTGAGGGAATATTTGTGAGTGAATATGTATGACTTTGAGTGAGACCACAGTGATGAGTCTAAGTGAGTGTGACAGACAGCAGTGCAGAAACCCAGGGCTATCATCATTAAGTGGAAACAAGGGCCTGGCTTTGTGGGCAGGCCGTGGCCCAGTGTTTACCAGTGTTACTGCTCTCCCAGATGTGGAGGCTGGTTTATTTAGCTCTTATTGAGGCTCTGGAAATCCTCCCATGGCACGTTAGCACTGGGTGTTGCCCCTGGCCAGCTCACAGGAGAACAGCGGAGAAGAGCGCACAGGGAATCATTCACAGGCAGAGCAGCTGCATGTGAGGAGGGTTCACAGCGGCAGAGCAGGTCAGCACAGCAACCTGAGAGATGGAAGGAAGCAGTGACGGAGAGAAGAAAGAGAGGGAGAGACTGCCTATGGTGATTTACAGGTTAAAGACACTGTCCGTCTATGTCAAATCTCTCATATTGCACTTTTACTTATCATCACATTCACAATGTGCAGTGCAATACAGGGGCTACTTGGTGATTAAGTGCTGTACTTGACTTTCTTGGTTTACTCACTATCCCTCAAATGTTAGCATCTTTTTAGAGGACAACCTGAGATCCTCCAAGTAGAGCTCCTGTGACTGTATATTAAGCTAGACAAAAGAAAACCAGGCATTTGCTGATTTATCCAGATATAAGGGTGTTCTGGAGTTTACTCAGCTAATGTATCCTGCTTCTTGGAACTGAACTGAATTCATGAGAACTTGGGCAATCTCGACACAGCAGGTCCACACTTTCAACTTCTGTTTTACAATCTAAACTGCTAATTTCATTAGTCTTGTTTAAGACTTTGGAAAAACAAAGAAACAGTTTGATTTATGCACAGTGTGTTTGCTTGAATGACTGGAGTGTTAGCCTATTACACTGTTTTGGTGGTTGCCTCATGCTCATCCCTCTTTAGCTTCATCAGTAATGCTCTAGTTATTATGAAGGGACCATCAAACAATGCTTCTTCCTCCTCATGATGTATGCTGCTCCCTCCGGAGAGGCCGGACTGCAGTCAGTGGGCCTCTTGAGAATGGAACAGCAGTCGGCCAATAGTACCAGTGGGTGTCTGGCTTTATCTGCTTAAACATCAGACCAACACCTAGGCTTTCTGTCTTTCTTCCTGTGTCAGTCTAATTAAAAAGCCTTTGTTGTGTTTATTTGAATAGGTTATTAAGCATGATCAGTGGACCGCCCAGCTCCCTAATTAAAGATCCCTCTTAGTTGTGTGGAGTCTCATTCATAAGAACTGCCTCTGAGGTTCTTGAATGATTTCATTTACCCAGACTTTTTCTTACTGAGAGGAAGTGGATGAGAGGGAAGTACTGGTGAGGCACAATAAAGCATCAGCAGGGTGGTAGTGATTGTCCCTGCACACTGAGGGTTGAATGGAGGCTTCAGCAGAACTGCGCAACCGAAGTCTGTCAGTGAAAAGCATTTCTGCTCGGACTGGTGTGAAAGTGTCAACATCTCACATTCTTCTGTCATTCTGTTTGAGAGTGGTGCGATTGTAAAACGGCAAAATGTTTTCCATCATTATTCATGTTTAATCCAAGGGGCCCTAAAGCGTATTAAGCATTGAGCCACTTTAACTGAGTCTTTGCTGAAAGACTGAACACCTGTTTGAAAACTGCAGATTTATTTCTCAGAAAGTGAAGGCAATATGTGCTGGGTTTACTCCCGGTGGAAGTATTTCTTTGGCTGGACTGAACTTGAAGTGAACTAAAAATATGGCTGAGACTTTTGTGAGCTGCAGACTTTTCTAAAGCCCAAACAGTAGAGACTTAAAAATTCTTGAATAAATCCTGTTAAAAGTTAAACCATACCGTACTGTAGAATTGTTAACAAACTATAACTAACATTGTGGAAAACTCTGCAACGGCATGACACACTGATTCTTGGTTTTACTTTATGTCGTTTTATAGTCCCCCAAGAGAGCGATGAAAAACTCATGTTATGCTCTTTTTGTGACTGAAATTTCAGCCAGTGGAGCAGAGGATAGGACAAACGGCGACTTTCTAATTGGGACCACATGTTACTTCTGTTGAGTCTTGAGACACACTTGTGCATGTGCACACACAAATACACAATTTGAGGAATGTTTCGAGGAGGTTTGAATGCCAGGGATTCCCTTTGTGCTGGCCTACTGTCAGGGCTGCAGCTGGAATTGTATGTGTAGCTGTATGCAAGGAGACCCAGAAGGCAACATGGCAAGTCATTTTACTGCTGAGAAACAAATAATTTGTCTTTGTCATGCGCGCAAACCAAACACATGATGTGATACATGTGACATATTAAAGAATTACCATTGGAGAGCATCCACAACAATAGAAAGTCACACAAAGATGATTTAAGATCTGCTGCTAGGATACATTCTAGTATAGTAAAGTTTTTTTTACATGGAAGTAGCACTTTGCTCAAAATGTGTGTCTTTTAGCTTTGAGTCAGTAATAGTGATAGCTTACTTTGCATTTTTTAAGGGGAAAAGGCATTACTGCCGAGTTACTAAGTGTTATCTGCGTGACAGAACAGGGATGAAGAGTGAGGACAGACATCACATAGTGTGTGTGAGCATGTTGGGGCGATTCTCACATTCACATCACATCAGGTTCATCCATAGTCCAGCTTGTCTTAAACTGTTGCTCGCCTTACAATGCAAGTGTTCCATATCCTGCCCAAGAACGCACATACCATACCTTTAAGGAGTGCATTTATCCTTCTTGTTCAATTTACAGACATGGAATTTTTGACTGACAGGAACCTTTAGTACTTTAGTGTGTGAATACAGTTGTTTGTTTCTTGTCTTACCCAACTAGATGTGAGGCCACTTCATTATGGAAGTTCTTATCAACCAGATTGCTTGATTAAATCTGAAGAGCTGTCTTGACTTCTTTTATCTATAGTCAAGCATTGTGCACCTGTAGTGTGTGGTCTCACCTGCCCCGCTAAGGCCTTTTTAAGGTAAATTTTTTACTTTTGAGCCACACTAATAATATTGTGATTTTGCTTGAATCAGTATCTCACTGTACCCACAGTGCATCTGTGCTTAGACCGCAGTGTTTCTTACTTTTGTTTCCGTGCTTGAGTGCCACTGTGTGTATGGCTGCTCACAAATCCTTCTGTTATCTTCTTCAGCTGCAATTTAAGATGGAGCATCTTCCCCTCTTAATCCGCCTTTCTCATAACAGAGCCCCAGTTAGTCAGTCAACCGGCCATCGGGCAACACATCCTATCGTCATCACTGAGATTTGACCAATAAACAACCTTATTCAAGACGTACGCCTTGCTTATCCCTCTCTGTTCCTTATCTCATCATCTGGGAAAGATATCCCAGCAACCATCACTCCCACTAGGCCTATAACCTGACAGACAGATAAAATCTGGGGCCTGGGGAGTTGTCACTCCTCAGTTGATGTGTGAATGAGTGTGCTACCTCGTAAAGTGCACACGCATGACTGAGGATGTATGGGTCTCATTTTATTACATTCACCCCTCTGTCTCTGAAGCGTTTGTGCGAGGAACAGGGGGCTGCCGATTGAAGGGAAAACAGGGTTGCAGGGAAGAGGAACAGGCGTAGGTCTCGCCCTCAAATGTTTTAGGTGAATATTTTGACATCTCATACTCTTTCATTGCTATTACTTTCTCAAAACAACCACCTCCTCTGAGAAAATAAAGGTTGAGACTGCCCCAGATGTTTCCGTCTGGAATAAAAGGTGCCGCTTTAATTGGGTGAAACTGCAGTTCACTTTTATTATTACTTCTTTTGATCTTTGTTGCTCTAATGGGGTACGTAAAGTTTTTACACTTTCATTAACAATTATAGAGTACCAGATATTAAAGCTGAGCGTTTTCCCATCGCTGCCCTGCTCTGTATCTTGCCCCTGACAGGTGAGGGTGTGCAGTCTTTAGCCATGCGCTCGTGGTTGGCTCCACACTGGTGGGCTCCGACCTCTCTGCTCTATCCCCCTGACAGCCAGCACTGCCATGTTTTGGAAAGAGCCCTTTCGATAAATAGCATTCCAGCTTTTGTGTGGTGCGCAAAAGGTTATGTTGTCTTTATTGGCCTGACAGACGCCTACAGTCTTCTGTAAATAAAATAGAGATGTCTGCATGAGGCAGCAGGTGGACCACTTTGTCATCCAGTCCATGGCTATCACTCTCTCATTCACTCTCTCACGCACACTTACACACACACACGCACACACATCTCTGCTCATGTAAACACTTACTGTATAATGCAGTATCCTTCAGGTTGTACTTCTTTTTATACGTGGCTCTTTTTTTTTCCCAGCAAGAGAGAGATCTTTTGATTTATTAACAGCTTTGGTTTATACGGATTTAAACACAACTGTGCATCAAATAGAGTTTTATTTGACCCTTGCCAGTTCTCACTCAAACCATATGTCTTCAGCTGGCATTTGTATCACATTGTTAGACTTATCCAAACACAGTTGAGTGTGTGTGTGTGTGTCTGTGACTTTTTAGCCGGGCCATGGAGGAATCCTTGCCTGGCTGTTAGTAGCAGCCCTGCCTGTATGTTTATACTCCTCTGCTGACCTCATGACCCAAAGGTCATGATGCTTACTAAAGCAAGCAGTGGGTCACAGACACATTTGGACACACTCTGTCTGGCATGAGTGTTGGTGTGGGTGTGTGAGAGTTGACTAAACATGTTTGTGTGTAGTCAGGTAGTTCAGTAAATAAATGTGGAGGTTTAAGGCTCTGGAGGTCACTTGCAGTGCTGGTGGGTGCCTCAGTTCGTCCTCTGTCATCATTACGGTCTTTTCATTTATTATTTTCTATATCTCTCTTTCTTTCCTCTCTTATACCTTTTGTTTTTGGTTTTCAAAAAAGTCATGAAAAGATGCGTAGCTAGTTCAGTGATTTAAGTGAGGTGGGTCGAAGTTGTATTCAACATCCCTTGCTTGAACATCCTCTAGACAGCCAACCATGCCAACAGGGTCAAAGGTGAAATGTTCCACCTTGTTTTAACCTAAACAACTTGGTGTTCTCAGATCATCGTCCACTCTACTTTGAAATTCAAAGTATGCAGCTTTGACTAGCCTAAATAATATTCTAAGGGCTTTTTTGAGTACCTTCATGCTTCTTTTCTTATTTTAAGTCACATGAAGTCAAATGAACGATGTTTTGAAAGTTAATATTCAAATTTCAGGTGTATTTTGTATTTAATTTGTTGATTTCACTTTATGTTTTCATTTTGCATTGTTTGAGCCTAAATATATGTACATTCTTTTATCCTTGATGGATAAAGGGGAGTATTATGAAGGAAGTTATAATAATGTTGTAATAAACAAATAAATAAATGAAGAATGAAATAAAAGTATATAAGTAATATTTTCTTTAAATAACACAATCTATGTCACCAGTAGGGATTCTTGTTGGGCTTAAATGACTTTTTGGAATAAAACCTTCTATTTGCACGTATATTGTGTGAAAAATCTGCATTTTAATTCCTCCATCTCAGTGATCCAGGTTGTGTAACGTGTTCAAGGATTTCATGGAAGCTTTAGACATGCCTGTCAGACTGATATACTGTTCTGCGGTTTGCTAACCCCTCACCCTGCAACACATAGCTGCCTAACCTTATGTTCATGAGACTGGCTGGAGCACACTGTATCTCTGTGATTCTGATTTATTATGGTGGTTGACAGTATTGATGACCAAATATGTTTTTGAGGAATAGATATTTTATGAGCAATTTATGACTGTTGGGTGAGGATAAATTAAATTACATTTCTGTCTGTCCACAGCACTGTGCGCACATGGGACGTGAACTCAGAGAAGAAGCACAAGTCTGTGTTTAAACCGCGCTCCTTCCAGGGGAAAAAGGTCATCCCTACATGCTGCACTTACAGCCGTGATGGGAAGCTCATTGCAGCAGGCTGCCAGGATGGCACCATCCAGATCTGGGACAGAAACCTCAGCGTGAGTCTGAAAACACAAACACACACACACGCACACACATACCAATCACCACAATGTGCAGTAGGTTGTAAACATAGCATGTCTGTTTTGTTATGGCCTCTGGTGCAGAGTCATGAGACTTGGGTCATCTGGTCACAGGCCAGAGAGGTCAGAGTTCAACAAGTCACTGACCAACACAGACCAGAATTCAAAAGGCCTGGCTTTAAAATGCATTTGTCCAAACTGCAAATAGGTGAGAATATTAAATAGCCTGTCTGACCTGTCTGACCTGTATTGACCCCTGTTATCACACTAACCAGGTACATGGCAATGAACATGCTCTCATTCTATCCAAACACTGGTAACCAAGAGTCTACAGCCATGTCAGAGGCTCTGTGAGGCTGTACTTAGACACAGCGATGCTTTGAGCTAAATGCTAACATCAACATGCCACTAGTATGGCTGAAAATAGCTGTGTATGTTAATGACGTGTAATGATTGAGTTGAGTTACTTGAAAGTTACCGGGAGGCCCAATCACAATTTCTTGCTGTACATTTTCCACTATTAGTTAATTAGGCAGTTAAGTGATCAAAGTGCTCATTCCATTCCTCAAGATTCGGTAAGATGAGGTAATAGTTGATCTTGGCTCCTAAGCAGCATTGCTCTCACTTATTTGGCTGTTTTCACTCGAGTTATTTGACAAATTGTCACTGTAGTGAAAAATGACTTTCACTCAGTTCGGGAGAATGCATCTCCTCCATCTTTCACCGAGCATATCTTCTGGTTCTCTTTAAACTTTTTTTCAAAAATGGTTACACCGTAACTCATGTCTGCCTGTCCTCCTGTGTGTCTCTCTTCTTGATCGCTGTAACACTGACGCATTTCTGTTTAGTAAATGGGTAGCAAAAGGAAATGACGTGCTGTTGTTTCCTGTTGACCAGTGATGGAGCAGGCTTGGCAGCCAACTGCTCGCTTGCAGGTTCACACACAAAATTCACCTCCACGAAACAGATGGGAAGAGGAAAAAACGAGGGGAGAGGTGCATATCTGTTTAAGAGGGGGCTTAGGGGACTGCGGCACTCATAATTCAGTATTTTCAATGTTGATATATTTCCAGTTTGGTATTGTCGTTCATTATGTTAAGCTCTTTTGCAAACACAGTTTCATAAGTTGCTTTTTCCACGGTGTGAGAAACTGTTTGTGGTCACTCACCTGGGAGTCCTAAAACACCATAAAACCCACACTTAAGACAGGTAATAAAATTGATGGAGTACTACACAGATATTGCTAAATACATTCTACGATAACCAGCATCCAGCATAAGACATCTAGTTGTTTTTCTGCCCTCAATGTTTTGGCAAATTTCTACTCTAATTCTTTGGTTCCACTTAATATCCTTTCATCTGTCCAACCCCATATGTGGACAAGGTTGAATGCTTCTGTTATTTCATATGAGAATAGTGACAGTGACAATTAAGCTGTAGTTAGTGAGTTGGAACAGCTTGATTGGACAGAGGGGCTTATCCAGATTAGTCAAATGAGAAGTAGGCTACATGATAATTACTCCAACAGTCAACTTCATAATCACAGGACACAAAAAAAATGTTGGTAGATGAAGGATTTGTTTTCCTTGTACCTACTTTTCTATTGTAAGAGCATTTGTGCTTCCATGTGCCCGTGTTGCATAGACTCTCATCTCTCCTCCACTCACCCATCATCCCACCCCTGGGCTGCTCATAACAGCAGGCTGCGAGTGATTGGGTTAAAGCTCTCCAAATTTATTACCCCTCTTTCTCCAAACTAAATATTTACCCTGCGTCCCATAGCAGCTTACAATAGTCATGTCTGTTGCCTGACCACTGGAGCCTGTCCTGTCTGAATGGCTCAAGAATTTAGTTGGTGCCCTCTGCCCTAATCAGCAACCTGTGCTGCTGACTCGAATTCAGCCACAAGCCTAAAAAGGAGTTTACCTCCCGATGCTTCTATTGCTGCTCCCTCCCCCACTCAACGGAGGCCTATCTCCTGTTGTATCGCCACTATTACTCATGGGCAGAATATGCAGGCAGATCAATCACGATCAATCATGTACATGACCTTGATCTAGCGCTCAGCCTTAGAAGAAGCTATTGAGGATGACACATTGTGCTCTTGAACCCTGACATGACTTGATTGATCCTATGATGGGGAGTCAAGTAGGTCTCTTTTAGTGGACTGCCACAGAGTGTGATTGCATGCTCATTCTCTGACCAGAGGGGTCGGTGCCAGAATTACAAGGCTGCATTTAAATGGTTGCCAGGTAATGTGCAGTCTGTGAAAGTTTCGGCATTGAGGGTGCAGACCTCCGTTCAAAAACATTACCACAGAGACCTGGGGAATGTTATGATGTCATTGGTGGACTTGGATGTTTCCAGACTTCAAAGTGGGACCCTAAAAGAGGTGGTTTTGATGAACTACTCAGAAGGGGAGTGTTGTCACGAGATGACATGGCAAACTTTCACTGGTTATCTGGATTTGCCTGGCTTTGTTACTGCAATCGATCTATAATTACGAGAGAAACCCATCCCCCCAAAGAAGTTTTTAATTCGTCCAGAGATGAATTTAGACGTATAGAAAGTCTTTTCTTAATTTTTGATCCTTTATGATTCCTGCCTTCAGCCCATGTTGTTAAAATGACGTTCCCTTTTCTCCACTGAACATCCTGTTTTTATGCATAAATTGACCACCATCATTTTAAAATTACCGGCCAAATAAGATCCTAATGCGACTTTGCACAGTATAACTGTAAACTAATGACATAAAAGATGTGGCTGTGAAAAATTAGAACATACAATCACAGACAAACGTTTTGAAGTCCAATGAAATGTTTAGAAAACTGTGTAGGATCTGTGATAACCGGCAAGAGTCATGAACATGTTTTCATGAAAGCGTTTGACGCTCAGACTGGAGCACCAGGCTATCTAAAGACAGTCTGATTGTAAACATTTACACTGGATCTCAGTCCTGCAGCCACATGATTTCTGTCATTGCCACACAGCGTGATCTTCCCTCCTTTAACCCTTTCTACATGTGGGGGAAAACAGTCACTAAATAACCTTCAAGAGGTGCTATTTATCAAGTGAAGTATTTCAGTGTGCCCATTCCTTGCACTTGGTTTAACCCTGGACAAGGACTTTGTACGGAGTCTAACTTTTCTGCAGTTTGTAGCTGAGACGCAGTGCAGTTAGTTTAATGGAACACACTGTCAGATTATGTGGACACTCACTCCAGTGTGATCCTCTAACACACACGCGGCTTCACCATCACCACTTGTTGATTTCCATGAAAGATCAGAGCAGCTGTTCAGGACTGCGGTTTGGCCACTTGATCCTCAGAAAGCAGCAGAGGTCAGAGTGAGATGTTACTGACTGCACAGTGGGCGCGTCATTAAGGCTTTCAGGTGTGTGGTTGTATGCCAGTATGGAGGTTGGGGAAAGGCAGAGCCTCGCAGTATTTATACAGTGATACTCAGATAGGGCGGTTAGGAACAGTTGGCCCTGTGGTAGATTGTTATCATAGTCTGCTGAGGATGAAACCCAATGCTGTGTTCCTTCAGCTATTTATCAACTCCTGCTGCTGAATAGGAGTAGATGTGTATTACGGCTGTGTGTGCGTAAGTGTGCATATGGATGTGTATACACAATCTTATATGAAAGGTGTACACGCATATATGAAGATAAATACTCACATTGGCTTTCTGAATAGAACCGTGAAAATTTAGCCTGATGCGAGGCTAGGGAGAAGTGTACAGTTTGCAGAGGATGTCACAAGGCGTGAGAGAAGTTTCACACTGTGTATGAGAATCCGGTTTCACAAACCGGCTGTGTAGATTATCACAGGAAGCAAACACCATGGCATCTACCAATGCCAGCCAACATCAGGATAGTAAATAAACACTAAAGCTTTCACAAAGCAGTAAATGATCTAGAAATAGCTGGAGTGGGTGTATGTTTGCAATAAGCAGCTAGAATAACTACTAGCTACCTATTAAAGGCACTACTTTTACTGACTGATAGATTATTAATCAATCAAATCAAGTTTAAAAAAATATATACTTATTTCCTGCATTGTATTTTTTAGGTTACAATATTTTGATAGACCATTTATTGTCCTTGTCTGTGTTTTTATTTTTATAATTTACTTCAGAGTTGGACAAGGGCTGTCATTTTCTCATTCCACCTGTTTGTCTGGTAAAATGAATGAAGAATATTTTTTAATAAATGGACATTGAGAGCTTTTTTTTGTGCAAACAAAACAGACACTAAAGACACAATAGCATTACAATACAACAAATGGGTAAAAACACAGCATGTGCTAACAACAGATGGTGTTAATCTTAAAAAGAAAGACAAAGATGAAAAGAGGCAAAAAAAAAACTTTGGGGAATAATTCGTCATGGGTCGAACAGGAGCCCATAACTTTTCTCACTAGTTGACCTGAGAAAACCTGTGGTTATAGTGAAAAATATTCTTTTTGAGGTTATGTTTTTATAAAACCACATTTCTCTCCGGAGTTATGTGAAACAGATTTCACCACCGTCTCCTCGCAGTATATTTATGGTGTAATATTTACATGTTTGGTGCCATGTATTCTCACCCTGCAACTATGCACGTCTCAGACAACTGGACTATCTTCTCGCCTAGACCAATTTTTATGATGTGCCACTGAGCTTCAGTTCAACAGACAAGATAATTACAAGAAACTGGTTCATTAGCAAGACCCTCCCGTTCATAGTCCATTCCATTGTCCATGTGCACATGACACAGCTGTGCAGTGGTCATTGTGATTGCTTGATTGTAACGGGGGCCCCAATGTCTTTTTATTTATTTTTTAGGCTGTACTTTAGGAATTGACTACTTTATTTGATCAGTCAGTCACCATGCACCCTCACAGTATTGTGTGTTTGACTGGGTTTAAGCCTTACACATTATGCTTCAGCTGCTGTTTAGTAGGCCAGAGATAGCCAGTGGCCAAGCTGTTTCATACCTGCTGTAAGATTAGAAAATTTGGTTTTTATATTAAATTGACCTTGTGACATTTCTCAACCAAGTCAATTTCAATGCAGCAAATAAAAGAATAGGTAGATAATCAATGATAACAAATGAGGAGAATGGATTTGAGTCAAAGGTAATACATGAGTAAAATGAGAATGGGAAGCAGAATATTATCCCTGGAGAGACTACAGAGGCTAAATGGCCAAGGCCTGAAAAAGTGGAATCCACGTTATCTACAGTTCAAGGTAACAGTGTTATCTGTCTCTTCCAAGTTAATAACTTCCCTCCATTTACTTTGGAAGTGAAGTATGGCCTCGTTTCCTTCTTGTATCATAAGGACACATCACTCATTCACCTCACGCTCCACTCTCTCCTTCTCTTTTTGCCAGCATTTCTCTATCTTATCTGTCTTCCACACTCTGTGCTCACTTCAAATTCCTTATCCAGCTTTCTGAGTCAAAAGCCTGTATTGCTGCAATTCTCTTTTCACTGATTTATTTGCATTCCGTTTAGAATTAATGAAAATGTAGCTGTATAAACCAAGGTTATGTTTGTTTGAGTGTTAGCAAGCCTACTTCCCAGACTATTGCTTCACCGCTGTCTTTTAATGATCGATCTCTGTAATCTGGCTGGGCTCAGGTAAAACTGAGGCACTGGGAAGTAAATGCAGGAGGAAGCAGAGAGAAGACACCAGCAAAAGTGACATTACAATTAGATGGTTAATTGATTTACAGACAAAATGAATTGCCAACAGTTTTGATAATCGGTTAGTCATTTAAGACATTTATCAAGCCAAAAATGTCAGACATTCACTGGTTTTAGCTTCTCACATGTAAGAATGTGCTGCTAATGTATTTGGATTTTGGACTTTTGGCTGGGGAAAAAAACAAGCAATTTGAAGACATCACCATGGGCTCTTGGAAATTGTGATGGACATTTTAAAGACTAATTCAGATTAATCGACAATGAAAATGATAACTAGTTGCATCCCGAAATCTAAAGTCAAAAGTTATGGTTAGCCAGAGTAACATGAATTTTAACGTCATCGTATTTGTTTATTGGTTATCTCCTTCTTCACTTATGTTCATTGTCCACATTTTGAGTGTACTTTCAGTGAGCTTTTCTTCTCGCTGTTCCTTTTGTGTGTATGTGTGAGAAAGATAGAGAGAATTGTGTGTGTGTGTATGTTGGGGTTGGGGGGTTGAGCTGGGTTATTTCCAGCCTGGTGCTTCAGACCTTGACACACACACCCTACACTGCACTACAGCAGTACACCGCTTGCTCTGAGTGAGCACTGAGAAAGTACATGAAATGGCTGTCCATTTTGGAAACAGCTATTTAGACAAGAGGTTAAAATGCTTCTGTTTGCAGGGGGGGATGGTGCGGTGGCTGGGATTAATAAGGAATATTTTGAAATACTTTTTTTGTTGGTGGTTGGTGTATGGACATTTCTCGTGGTTTACGAAATGTTCCTAAAATGCCACCATTGCTCCCCTTTCTCCTAAAACAGTTTTAAACATCTTGTCTGTTTAACCCCATAAACTACAAAAGTGAGATTCCATTCTCTGTTCTCCATACAATGACCCTCAACTGAAATGTCACTTAACCTACTTGGTTTTCAGTGATACATGCTGATCATCACAGCCAAGCTGAGTAAGATCACATTCTCATATACAGCAACATGCCAGGGAAATAGTTAGAAGGGCTTGATGGTGGAAGCATTGCCTGGGAAGCTGTAATATTCAGTGTGCAGACTGCTTCTCTTTTTTCATTGTTGCTATCTTGGATCTTGGATGTGCACCGTCTCTGTTGCAGAAATACATATAACCATATTTAGGGCTTCATTGGACATTGGTCCACATAATGTCAGAAACTAAAACTTTCCTAAAACCGAGGAAAATGTCTTCTTTTGGCCTACCGACAGCCAAAACCCAAAGAGATTCGGTCACATAAGAAGAAAAAAAGCAAATTCCTCACATTTGAGAAGGTGGAAGTAGGGACAGTTGCTGGAAAAAATGATAAATCCATTATCAAAATAGTTGCAGATGAATTTTCTTTCAGTAGTCTATAGTCTTTCATCAGACCTTTACCTGCCTTGTAAATGCATGTCATACCTCCATACCAACAGGTTGTAACACAGGCGTTCTTTGAAAAATGGTAGTATCCAAACCCAAGCCAAGATAAACCCTGATGACATCATTGGGGTTATCATCAGATAACCCTATATTTTCTCAGACTTGTCAAAGCTTCTTTGAATCGATAGAAAACGTCATACTACTTTCACTGGCTTGAAAGTACCCCCCATAATTAGTAACCTGATGAATGTGTAAAATTACTAGAGTTCTCCTTTAACAGTTTTAGGAAAAAGAGTGTGTTACTTATTTACTAACCCACACTTTTAGAATAAGACTTTGTTTCAACACTTCTTTTCAATGTCAGTCTTCTCAGCCTCAAACTACTGCTGCCTCCTCTGCTCCTACGCTAAGTGTTGTTATTCTTTTGTTATTGATCCTGGCGGTTGTTGATATTTTGATGTGACACTGTAAAATAGTTGTTGGCTGACGTAACACTTGTTTAAGGATGGCTTATAATAAAGTAAATAGTAAATAATAAAGTCTTATGTGCAGTATTGGTAAACCGTACACAGCAGAATATTATAATACTATTTCAGGTAGGAGCGAAAAAAACATCTCTCAGACAGGCACCTAAGCTTGCCAAGGTAAATCTCTGTGGTCTGTAGTCTTGCTAAAGAGTGCGGTGGGTAAAGTGTGTAAAGTTGCCGGTATTTCATAAGCTGTATTGGGCTTCATAGTTAAATATATAGTATGGTGTTCAAGGAGGAAATGGAAACCGTGTGTTGTTTTGAAAACACCGAATGAAAAGGTCTTTTTGTTACTGCAGCGACCGACTGAAACATCTGCTGCTGAAGCAGAGCATCGTCAGTTGCATCCTGCAGTACATTAGGAGATCTTTAATATTGATGATCAGTAGTGACAAAGGCAGCGTGTTTATGGAAAAGGCAGAGAGAGCCAGGATTGCACTATTTATTCATTTTGTTCTGTAATTAATCAGTTACATGTAATCTAGTTTTTTGTCTCTGTAATGGGCTTGTCTGTAATACATATCAACACTGTGTAAATAAATTCAGTAGTAATAAAGCAACTGTTTCTACTTTTCATTTGCACGTAACTATCATTGGACTGTTATCATGACCTCTGTACTACACTTTCATTTCATACACAGA